AATTGCAGCATTATAAATGTCATTTGTCCTTTTGAGAAGGATTTATCTGTATTTATCATAGCTTTTGCAATGACTGCTTGCACACAGCAGTTCAAACATGAGCCAGATTTTTTTTATTTTTGGATTGCTGCAGAATATAAACATGATTAAATATCATCTCTGCTCAATGGAATATCATAGCTTAAAAAAAGTAAAAAAAAGTAAATGAAGTACACATGATCATATTTCTGAGTTTACAGCAGCAACAAGTAATTATTCCAGTCGATCTCAATTTTAACATTTACCAACAGGAAATTTGCTGCTCTAATGGAAAATATTTTGTTTCAAAATCCTATAATACAGTACTTTTACTTAAAAAAAAACCTGAATGAGAAATAACTAATTCTTTAAACATCTATAATCAGAATGAAAAGGCAGAAAATGTATTTACAGTTGTGTCCTGGAAAATGGGAGAGAGTCAGGGGCTTCACCACCTAGACCCTCACCAAGTGTTTCATTTGCACACCACAAAATTACATTCTTGGACTCACCCCTTTGAAATTGCCTTTGGGCATGTTTCTGGAACACACAGAGGCTTCAGAATCATGCAACTATGTATGTACATGTGAGTACAATACACCACTCCCTTGATAACTTGCAAATTCTCTTATAACTTTGAACCCTCTTATAAAGCTAGGTCAGGTGGGGATCCCATTTGTTTAAAACTAGAAAATACCCCCTAAAATGTATCCCTATTTTTTGAATTTGCAAGTTATTGTGATAAAATTGGTAACTGAAATGTTGATATCTCTCATTTTTTGGTCGAAAACAGTAGATATGAGATGGAAATTTTAATCAAACTTTTGGAAATTATCAACTTTTAATAAAAAGTAATAAAATAGGTTACATTTTCTTTCCAAACGACATTCTTAGTACACTGTAATTAAAGATTATCAAGGAAAATTTGATCATGAAAATGTCACTTACCTCTAGTGTAGGCAGTACATTAATATTTAAGTGCAATTAAATAATTTTTATTAAGTAAAATTGGTGTTTTAATTTTATCTTTTAGTTCCACTTACCTGTAAACATCATAAATGCAATGTGTATTTAAATGTAAAATGTCAATTTACCATAACAGTTATGTCCACAAGTGTTTCTCTGAAATCTTAATTAAGTAACAACCATGTTTTGATAACTGACTTGGTTAATATGTATTGTATTGTTGCACTGAATTAAAAGCTGGCCTCTGTATTATCATATTAATTATGTCTTTGGAATCAAATAATGGAGGTGGAATAAAACAAAAGGTTAAATGGCATGCAAATCCTACATACTTCAGTGGCTCAGGTCCTACATCAGGTGAACTCATTTTAGTTGATCAGTCAAACACTGCTATAAATTTTATTGTGTATGTAACATAAATTACTTTAAATTAACCAATTCTTTCCTACTTATGATCAGAGGTAGCAAGGCAACCAAGTGAAAAAAATAAAGAGCTTGGTTTCACAGATAGGACCACTGTGGGCAATCAAGTTTCAGATGATTTCTGAACTGCCACTTAAGGATGATAAGAAGTTTCACAATTACTTTCATTGAAATCATGAGTTCAGTGTTGCACTAATTGAACAATACAAAAACTGCATTTTGGTGTAGACATTAGTCTCAGGAAATAAATATCCCTAGTTCTTGAGAAAAAAGGAATCTTGTTTTGTGGTGTATCAACAGATAGCCTAGTTCCGAACTACTTTGACTCATGACTTAGTTGTATACTATTAAATTTCACTCCAGGGAACCAGACTAGTCAACAAAACAAAAAGCTGTGATGCAATACACGTTTTCACATGCACATGATGGTTGTTGAAACCAATTGAAATGGTCTTGAAATTTTGAAAAAAAATTATATTAATAAATGATATTTATACAGAATAATGAACAACTTCTTTAGAAAAAATGCATTATTAACAATTATTATCGACATGATTGTAAAAGGAGGATTTAGTCATTAAACAGCCCAGAGTTCTCTCCCCTCCCCTCACATATTTTTCTCTATGCATAAGCAAATTTTTTTTTAATTTTTGGAGGTCTCTTGATAACTCACACACTTACTTATAATGTGGTCTATGTTTGTGGACACCCCTACCCCCGTTGTGCGTGAGTTTTCGAGGGAGAGGAGTACCATTTCATATAAAGGAGGTCAATGTGATCATGCTTAAGTGACAAAAAGTTTTACCTTTCCCTCATTAATGTTGCCATCAATAGCCCCAGAGTTATGCAGCTTTGTTGATATGTCTTGTTTAGTAGAAGTCCATTCCACCAAAAGGAAGTCATTGTAATTGAACTGCAATTAATAACTGAATGAAAACATTATTAGAAAAGATAATTATCAATGTTGGCCTACAGTTGGGTTTTTAAAAAATCAGTCTTAAGTGAATGAAATTACATGTCATTGGGCATGTAGTTCTTGTTAGAAAAAAATGTAGGCATTTGCTTTGCTAGCCAAAGCAAAAGTTTTTAATGGTACTTAATCTGGTGTTTACAGGAATTAAACACTATGTCATCACTAATACCTTAAATTCTGCACATTTGCTATGACATTAAGGCTTGGTTAAACATTAACTTAAGCTTCTTAAAAGATTTGTCTATTGTGGCAAAAACTGCAACATCAACAGTTTGTCTCAGCCTATGGCACTGGTTCACATTGATAAATATAATTCTGGTTTGCTCTTACGTAGCTACCAATTTGTGATTTTTCATGGAACTATTGATCTTCCTAATTCTTTCAAATAGGGACACTCCAGAGTTTTATTGCATTTTGTTTTGTGTCAGCAAGGCACACAGTTCAGCAGCTTTCCAGAATTCAAGGGTAAAGTGTGTACTTAAGGTGATGGTGTAGAAGGTAGGTACATAATAGGGGTTTCTTTTTAGTTTAGGTGCTTTTGGACACAAACACAAGCAGGTTATTAAATGCCAAAGGTGTTTAGGTAAAGTGCCTTACACAAGGGCACACTGCAGTAGCCAACCTATTTTTGAAACCTGGACTCTGGTCACAAGTCTGGCATTAACCACTGAACCACTGTGGCTCCTGTCTCCATTAATTGTCTTTTAAGAAATGCAGGAGGTGCAACTCGCTTACATGCATTCTGGATCCCCTAGTACACAATTATGTAAACATTTCTGTTGAAAGAAAATTTAAATTACACATTAGTTTCTGGATCAAACAGGAAATTCCTGTAAATACATGTAATATGAATTAATTTAGTGTTAGTGGTAGAAAAAATTTATTTCATTGTGGTTGGGCAGATGCATAATTACTGTTGCACAGTTGACCTTACCTTGAAGTCCTACATCATTAACCTTTTTAATTGTAGCTGGACTGGTCCTATACCTGTTTTCTTCTGTCTGTTTATCTGTTTATTTGTTTAACTGCTCCTTCCAAACTGCTTTAAGGATAGCTATAAAATATTACATACTATCTAGTCCTAAATGAAAAGGGTACTGCTCAGACATCCAGTGTGGCTACTGCATCTGCCATCTTGAAAATCTTGAGATGCTAAATTACCTAAATATATGATTAATATCAATGTGGGGTTTTCGCTATAAAATTCTTCTACTTGTACCTTAATGAAAATTTTGCCAGTTTGATGTCCAATATAGCTGTATTATCAGCTCTCTTGAAAATCATGTCATTGCTACACCTTCTGAATGGAAAGTCAAATCAGCATGGAATTTTCACCAGAGATTTGTTATAAGGTCTGGTTGGTCCTAAATGAAAGAGTTTTAGCTTAAACATCAAATATGGCTGCTGCAGTCTTTTGTGGTTTGTACAATCTTGTTTCTCCTACTTTTGGATGGATGGTCATATCAACATTGGGTTTCACTTAGAGGCTTCATATGATGTCTAGTTGAGCTAAATAAAAAAGGGGATTCCATCCTGGCCATCATCTTGAAAGTCGTATACATTCATTGGGTTTTCACCGGCTGACTTGTTATGAATTTTGGTTGGTCCTGAATGAAATTGTGCCAATTGGCTACAAGAGACTTGTCACAAATTTTGTCTATAATTCTCCTGAATGGATGGCTATATCAGCATAAGAGATTTTCGTCAAAAGTCTTCTAATGGTGTCTAGTTTGTCCCAAGAGAAAAATGGTGTTGTTCTTAAATCCAATATGGCTGCCAAAATGGCTTTTTTTAAAAATCTTAAAGCTCAGAAATTTCAGCTTCAACCTTAAAAACAAATCAAAATTGTCTTGAATTGCTGGAAATTATCTTAACACAATAGTGCATCCGCCGGTTTCAAGAAACACTTACTCTTTTTATGCTCAAATTATGCTTTTTTGCCACTTAATATTAGTAGTAAATTATGCTTATACCTCTCTTGAGGGTTGGCATGTGCGAGTTCAGGTTTACATTTAATACAGTTTCTATTTGATGAGGTATCTGGACAACCGTTCATTAGGACTGGCATGTACCCAGTAGAAATTTCCCCAAATTTTTAATTTTTAGTCATTAGACAAAATTTCCCCAAATTTTTAATTTTTAGTAATTAGATGAGGCAGCTGCAATAAGTACAACTTGATTGAAGTATGACATGCAAATTGTCTGTGGCTTTGGTGACTTAAGTGGTTAGTACATCCACCTCAGATTTGGTAGGTCATGGTTTCGATTCCTCACGGAGTCATACCAAAAGACTTATTAAGAGGAACTTAGCAGCATCAGCCTTGTGTTAGGACTGGTTTTCCTGGTGTTTTAATTATGTGACTGAGTGGGACATGAGGATGTGATGTAATGTGATTATGATTTTTAACGTAGCTTTAACAATTTTTCAGTCATATCGCTATGATGTCTGAAGTGTGGTAGTTTATAGTGATAGACTGGGGCATGATGCCGCAGACTTGTAGCATGATGTCCCACCCAGTCACATTATCCTGACACCAGGCCAACCAGTCCTAACACTGACCTCTTACTGCTGATCGTCAAATGAGGCAGCTGTTAGTATCATTTTTGTAAGTCTTTGGTATGACTTGACCGGGGATCAAACCCACGACCTTCTGCATCCGAGGCGGATGCTCTAACCACTAGGCCTCTGGAGTGGTTAGTGGGACATGATGACACAACTCTGTGGCATGATGTCCGGGTACAACATTTCACTATAAATGCTAAACTGTAGATATTGTAGCTATATGACTCAAAATTGTTAAAGATACTTTAAAAATACATGTACAAAAACACTCATAAAAATAGCAGTCGCTGTAAAATGATGCTGAATAACAAGGGCAGAGTTTGATTTTCAAATAATTTCAATTAAATGATAATGTTTTTGGTTATCAGGTACTGTGAACACATTTAGAAACTTTGGTAAATGGTGAAGATTCAATCCATGGAAAATTAAGGTATCAAGCAGTAAGGTGAGTGGGTGGGATCTTGACCTATGGACAGAAAAGAGTTTCCATACGAGGAAGAGTTTAAAGTTGATAACAGCTTGGATGTACTGGAAGTCCTTGTTAATAATTTATTGTACTGGAAGCCACTTGATAATGGTTGTACTTAAGTCCTTGTTAATATTTAGCACATTACATTATATGTTTTGACATGCCATTGAAAACAATTTATGCTGTGTATGTTTAACAGTCACAGACTGGAAGATAGTTTAAAGGACAGTAACCAGCAAATATAACTGACTTTCTGTGTACTTGCTTTATATTCAGTTTGAAGTTTGTTATCATGTCTTGGAATGCAGTGTTTTTTTTCATGCAATATGGGCATTTGTTTACCAGATTGAACTTAGAACACTTGAAATAGATAATTCATTAGAAAGTATGTGTTGAATTCCTGAGAAATACAGTTTGTTAAAATAAGTTGCAGATAGGTTTGTGGCATACAGATGCTTTTGTCACGATGATATCATGGATAATTTGATTGGCAGTTTATAATTAGATTATATATTTGAACAAGAGAATCTGTCTTGCAATGAAATGAAAAATGGTGCTTATATGATTTCCAATATGGGTGCCAAAGAAGCCATCTTGAAAATCTTGTTATTGCTATTTGTTTTGAACAGAAAATCATATCAGCATGGGTGTTTTGATGGAACTCTTTTTGTGGTGTCTGGTTGACTTTAAATAGAAATTATGCTGATCACACATCAAGTATGATCACCCTGGCAACCATCTTAAAATCTTGTTATTGCTACTTTTGCAAATTGGAAAGCCATACCAACAAAAACTAAGGTATCCAAATAAAAATGGTGCTGATCTGACATCATATATTACAGCCATAATGAACCTGTTCAGAATCTTGGCACTAATTGACTTGAATGGATTGTTATGTAATATCAATCCCTGGTTATACCAAAGTCTACAAATTGTGTCTAGTTTGTACTAAATGAAAATGGTGCAATCTTTCATCCAATATGGCCACCACAGTGGGTATTTTAAAAATCATATCACTGGAGAATATCAGAAATGGTTTCAGTAAGCAGTAAATAGAACAAATGGTCTTATCAAGAAGTTCTGACAATTCTTTATAGTACAGTGAATTTAGTTTCTTTGAGGGATGCTTGTTTAAATATATTACATGTACTCCAAATCTATTTTATTCACTAGTTGCATACATTCCTTTTGCAGTTTCGAATCCACATAAAAACATTTGTCCAAAAGAAGTTTTGTGTGCCAGAAAAGGATAAGGTTTTCAGGATCAGTTTTGCATAAGAAATATTTATGGTTGCTAGAAATACTAATCTTTGCTTGGAAGGTATTAGTACATAAGATTCTGTGCTTGAGTCTTGAACCAAAAACTTTATATAACAGGAACTTTTTATTTTCATCTAATAGACATTAATGTTATTTTAATCACCATCACACATTCTCCTTAAAAACGCATACTTATCCCACAAGCTTTAATTCTGTATTGGAAAAACTTTGGTTGACTAATGATAATTGTACAATTATTTGACAATTATACATTGTTTTGATAGTTGTAATGTTATTTGATTGATTCAGAGAGAGATCAAGAGAGATAGAGAGAAACCGATGTGAACTTGATCTTATTACTTGAAAACTTCACTATATTTATTATGACAGTTATAATCATACACTCTTATTGGAGACTGAATATTATGATAGGCTTCTGCTATGGAAAACTGATTATTTATGGAGACTAAATATTATGATAGGTTTCTGCTACGGGACGCTAAATATTATGATAGGCTTCTGCTATGGGAAACTAAATTTTATGATTGGCTTCTGCTATAGAAGACAGTAAATATTATGGGAGACTAAATATTATGATAGTCTTCTGCTATGGGAGACTAAATATTATGATAGGCTTCTGCTATGGGAGACTAAATATTATGATAGGCTTCTGCTATGGGAGACTAAATATTATGATAGGCTTCTGCTATGGGAGAATGGGAGACTGTAATTTACAGTGAATCCTCAGATCTTGTATCTTGATTGGTCATTGAAATAAAGACATTCACTGCAGATCTACATTCACTAGCATGATTGTGGTGCTGTGGAAACAGGACTTTTAAGCAATTTAACTTCCACATAGTTCTCACACTTGTCAAGATCTTTCACACCAGGGACATTTAAAATGTTTGAAATCTCTCTTAACCAAATGGTAAAAGGAGATTTGCATTTTCTTACTACTTTGGCACATATTCCTCCCACCTGTCCCTGGTTCATAAATTGTCCATCCTCACCTGTCTTGAGTTAAGGTAGTGGTTGTTATCCTGGCTGGTATGGGCAGTTTCCAGCTTGTGCTGTCTCCTTCATCACCCATTCCAATGTATGAACTCCCAAGAAACCTAAAGCCAAACTTGATTGGTTCTCCAGGATAAATTTGACTACTGCAGATTCAGGTCTCACACACACACACACACACACACACACACACACACACATATATATATATATATATATATATATATATATATATATATATATATATATATATATATATATATATAAATCTAAATCTTCCATTGTATACTCGCTTAAGTATTTATCTAATTGTTCCAGAAATTCAAATTTTTTATATTTATTTGATGGGAAATAGATATTAATTATATGCATATTGTCTATCATTAGGTGTATCAGTTTCCCACAAAAAAATTTCCTTCTAGTTTTCTTTTCCATGTTATTCCTCTATTTTTTTTTATTATTGTAGCTACTCCACCTTTTTTTGTCCTCAAATTTCTCATTACTTAAAATAACTATACCATTTTTTTCCCTTTCTAATAAAGACACTAAATTATTTGTAAATCCTTTATGTATTTCCTGTAACAAGATTATATCATAGTCAATTTCTATACTTAATCTCAAAATTTTTTCCTCATTAACCCCATTCAGATTAATTGAAGCAATGCGGAGGGGTTTTTTTCCCCCCTCTCTTATCCTGCCAGGTCGCCAATTTAAATAGAATATAAATTAATGGAACTAACTGTAAATTTTTCCCATTGATAATAAGATATTTGTAGAGTTGGAGAAGCTAAGGGATCTTCCTCCTCTACTGATGTTAGGTTTGTTTTGCTATTTGTAGTTGTATTTGTTTGTTTTTTTCCACTATTTATGGTTGTTTTGCTATTCAAAGTTGTATTTGTTTGTTCTTGTCCACTATTTGTTGCGATATCCATTTGTTGTTGTTCTGGTTCATCTTTTTCTATAATTTCTGTATCATTTTCATTTTCTGATTTGTTTTCATTTCTGTTTCCGTTTTCAAATCTTTGTTTGCTTTCCGATCCATTTCCACTCAAATCTTTGTCACTTTTAATTTTATTTGGTTTGTTGTCACTACCAGCTTTTTTCTTCTTTCCTTTTTCCATTTCTGCCCTTTCTGTTCTCTTTGATCTTGTGTTGATGTTGATGAGCTTTTTCCAAGAAAGTTCCTCTTTGGTTGATCCTTTGGAACCAGTGTAGAGGTTATTGGTATTATGCCAGACATATCTTCTTTCAGATCTCCCAGTTCCATTCCCGATTCTTCTTCCTCTAACATTTTGGATGAAAAACATTATTCATTTTAATAAACTATAAAAAAAATGTTCAGAATAAATATACAGAAATCTCTAAGTACACAGTTAAAACACACTAAGTCCATGTCTTAGCTGAAAATTTTATAAGTCCACATTTCTGAGCTATGTCCTAGCTAATAAATGACAAAAGTTATTCTTTCCTAGGTTTTTCTGAGCTAAAAAATGACTAAGTTCTTATTTCCTATGTTTTTCTGAGCTAAAAATGTACTAAGTTCTCATGTCTAAGGTTTTTCCAAGGTATTTTGTAGGTTTTTTTTAATGTACGAGATGATGTACAAGGTTTTCCTAAGAAAACCTTGGAAAAACCTTGGACGTGTGAGGATTTTCGTCAAATTTTCAAGTAAACCTTGGAAAATGTACAGTTGGGTGGTACTAACAGCTGCCTCACTTGATGCTCAGCATTAAGAGGTTAGTGTTAGGACTAGTCGGCCTGGTGTCAGGATAATGTGACTGGGTGGGACATCATGCTACATGTCTGCGGCATGATGCCCCAGTGCTAGGCATCACTATAAACTACCACACTGCAAACATCATAGCGATATGACTGAAAAATTGATAAAGCTACGTTAAAATCATAATCATAATCACATCACTTTACATCTGGTAGTTATCAATTAGTACTTAAGTCTTATCTGTATTTACTTGCATGTTTTTGTTTTTTTCTTACATCAGGAGTCTATTCTAAGTAAGGCTGTGTGAAGGGAGACTATTCATTTATTTCTGGTCAGCTTTTAAAACAATGTTGTATACTTTCCCCATTAATAAAAATCTAACAAATTGTTTAATACTGATAAATTAGTTACTTGACAGGTAAACATAACTTTCAATATTCATGTATCTTCAAAATATACAGTCATTGCACAGTGTTGAAAGTAATACATGTTCCAAATCTACATTTTTTTCATTAAAGTTGACTAAAGTTGAAAAAGGAGATAATTTTCTTAAATGAAAAATTCGGTTAATATCAAGCTGTATGTTAGTTTCAACTCTTGGCACAGATAAATGTTATTGGGATGTAGTTCAGTGCACTCAAACAAGAATCAGGGCAGACTG